AAGTATAGATAGAAAGAAAGAAAGAAAGAAAGATAGATAGATAGGAGATAAAAGATAAACATATATATAGAGAGATAGATAGAGCGATAGATAGATAGATAAGAGATAGTTAAATGTTTATTCATTAATCATATTAGATATACTTACATACTTACATTTATATTTACAGGAAAATACAACAACTATACGCACACGTACATACACACGCATACGGACACGAGTATAAGCACACACACATCCATACAGTAACAGGCATAGGAAGATGGACAGATGGAACATTCAATAGATTGGTTATTATACAGAGCAAATTAAACAGATTAGATGGACAGAAAAATAGACAAACTGATTGGTATGTATTGGTAACAGACAGACAGACAGACAGACAGAGAAATAAATGGATATAGAGAGACAGCATATAAACAGACAGACGAATACATAAAACATGCCTATAGACTGGTAGATAGGCCAGATAGATAGATAACAGATAGAACGGAAAATGGGGAAATGAACAATAGATAGATAGATAGTAAGACAAATAGGTGGGAGAATTAGAATGATATACGAATGTGCACTAAAATGTAATTACATCTGCAGTTACAAGATTGTATGTGAGATTCTCTAATAAGACTTGCGACGCTTCATAGATATTAGGTCTTTATGGTAGTGTTCAAATAGCAGGTCTTGCATCGATAAAAAAAAATCATAGCTCGTCGTGTTCGTGAAGGAGTTCAGGGTAAAATAAATCAATGATGAGTATGTCGCGAGTGCTTCTCTGTTAGCGAAGGAACTCTCTCTGATTAGGAGTCTAGGCCTAGCTGAGCATAACCTTCGGAAAATCTTCCAGCATCCAATCACGACTTTTTTTTTTTGGCTTTAGGTTGCTTGTCCACAAGTTTGCCTTTCGTGCTTGCAACATTCTGGTCGCAAGGCTCAGACGCAGAATATTACACAGGTCTCCCACATTGGTTATTTCGCTAGAGACGCATACTTTCACAGGACATTTTCCTCCACGCATACAAAAGCGCCCGTGACCTGAGGCGCCACACGGGCAGGTGTCGAATAGGTGTTGTTAGCAAGGGTCAATTGGGAGTGAGCGTCCCGCTGTGCTGCCATGCATGTTCCTCCAGGGCGACTGTCTCCTTCATTATTACCTTCTGCTCGGATCTCCTTTTATTTGTGCATTTATCTGTGTTTATTTGCCATTTTATTAATATATATATACACTTTTTTTTTCTTTCTCTCGCCAGCGTAAGTATCATTTCTAGGTCATTTTATCTATGTTTTTTTTATTACAGTGTTCAAATGATATTTTTTTGCATATTTTTTCCCATCGAGATTGCTCCCATACCATTGCTCTGCCTCACTCATTTTATTGGCATCATTGCCTTTCTTATTGTTAGCAAAAGCGATTTGTTTCTCAATTTGAGTTTTCAGTGATACAAAGCAACTGTGTCCATTTTTTCTATTTACTCATGCTTGTCTGCATCAAATGGATGTACCGCATGTTTGTTCACTGACTTTTGCACTTATGTATTTCTAATAAGAGAAGAAAAAAAAATAACAATTTGATGTAGTAGATCATGGGATTGTGTGAAAGCAGCGCGCCCTCCCCAGGGTGTGCAGCGCCATCTAGTGAGACTCATGAACATATTACTCATACTGCACACAGATTTACTAACCAAACACTCATCTGTACTACTTCCCGGTGCCATGGCTCAGGTTTCTAAGGTTTACATGCTTTCAAAGGCGACCCCAGGTGTTAATGAGGTGTGAGTTCCTGTGGTATGACTCATGCTCTCCCGTCTCTCTCCCCCCTACCCCAGCTTGCCCCTCGCCCAGCCGGGGAAGCGCTACACATTCTCGAGCACTGTGCTCTCCGTCATGGCCCACAGGTAATGCCGTCTCGACCACTCCTGCAGGAACACTTGTTAAAAGAGAACCCTAAAGCACAAGCCACTGTATCAGTTAAACCCCCTCGTACTGTTAGACCCTTTGCTGCTGCTGTGCTGTCTCGTGACCACACCGTCTGCCGGGCCTCGCAAGGGCCTGTTGTCTCAGTAGTGGTACCAACAGCCGCCACACCTACAGCCTTCACACCACACTGTCCCGCGTCTTCAGTGCACAGTTCCTTCACTCTCATCCTCCGCCAACAATATGGTTTAGTCCGCTGTCCCATAAATCCCCCCAACCATTTCTCTCTTAATATGACCGCAGATTTACTATGCTACTAAATTTCACTCTCTGTCTTCCCCCCTCAACAAAGTACCTCTAAACAGCTTAGTCTAAACAGTAGCAGACTACTTCCTCCTCTTCAGAAATGTCTAACAAAGAAAGGGGTTGCGGTCGGATCGGGAAATTCTAGTCACTCGAGTAGACTTATTGCAATTGAATTTCCGGATATTTTCAGAGATGCATATATTTCCCTCCCGTCTTACCCAGACTTTTTACGCAAAACTGATATTCGCGAAGGAGAGAGAGAGAAAAAAAACACACGTGTTTCTGGTAAAGCCGAGAATGAAATCTTGTTCTTGCGCCCACACAATAGTCGCAAAAGTAATAAGCATTTTCAGAAACAAAAAAGGATCCAAAAATCGTTCGGTCCTGTTGTTTTCCGTGGGTGCGAGTTGGCCGTGAGATATGCTACAGACCGCACAGACCCCGGCGCGTTTGGGTAAATAAGC